TGCACGCAGGAAGGTGTCTCAGACATGCCAACGGAAGGCTGCCCTCGAACGGTGAGCACATCATGAGGTGAACACTTGTACGGGCTACATTCTGCTTGGTGATTCTAGTAAATAAAAAAGGGGGAGATGTAGGGCGTGGTCAGCTAACTGCCACGCAGCAGGAAGCTGAAGTAAGCTGAATCATCCTTCCTGTGGCCACTGCGCTTGCGCTAAGTATACTAATGAGGTTTTAAAGTAGCGACCTATCCGATGCTGGCTCACAAGTCGCACCATCGGCGAAAGCCAATCACAGAGCGACACATGTTCTTAATCCCTATATAAGCAGACTGCTACAGGATTGCGGTGTCTTCCTTCCATCTTTTCTTTAACCAAGCTGTGCTCCAATAAAGTGTGATACGAGAAGAATCTTGCGTGTGGCGACTCGTCATTCTGCTGGTCGGAGGCGGCTTGCCGCACCCCACAGTCTAGAATCTCTCCTGAAGGGCTGCATTTTGCACTTGGGCAGGGAAACAACTTCATTCCTCACCTTTCCCTTCTTCTCTTTGGCCCCCAAATTTGGGACATATATAGCAATGTCTTTCTTGCTGCAGCAAGGAGGAAGAAGAGCAGGGATCTATTTCAGGCCTGGGGGACCCCATAAACACAACGGTGTAACAACTCAGCTCTGGCAGAGAGGGTCAGACCTAATGACCAGCCTCCCATAAAGAAATGTCAGCAGTACAGCTATGCCATTCATAGGTTCTCTGGGCAGGTGCAAAGAGTAACCTGTAGGAGAGCTTGAAACTCATCCAGAGTAGGTAATCAGGCATCCACCCATGTAGACAGGGGTAATACATGCAGCCAGAGTTATCTCGGCCTTATGCCTCACCCCAGTGCCTCCACCCCCTTGTATACACATGTGCATACATAAAAGCGCAGTCTCAAAGCTTACCAAAACAAGATGGGGAGAAGAATGTTACTAAGCCTACTGTATAAAATTTGTCATATATAAATAGTAATATATGTCCACTATGGGAAACATAGAAAGGTAGAGAGAAGGGAATAAAAAGTATTCATATTCATACTGCCAGAAGTATCTCCAGGTGTATTTTTCTCCTGATAGTACACAAACTGTACACACCACAGATTTTTCCATTCTGCTTCATTTTCTTGGTTGTAGGGACAGCTCTCAGAAAGATGTTCAGAAGGTAATAAAATAGCCCTGTCAGTGTTTCCTAAAGTCTGTTCATTGTGCTCTATGATGTATATCTTCCTTGGAATATTTATTAATAGGTGCTTCATGTTAATAGTGTTATGTGGTCAAAAAGTTTGAGAAAGCTGGCTTTAACAAAATTAACTTTCTTTACCACTGAATCTTTAATATACAATATACATTGTGTATCTGCAAGGGAAAGATCGACTGTGAAACATTTCTTAAATGTATTTTGACCATAGAACCCTTCTCACACAGAGCATTTCATTTCACTAATGTGTTATGAATATGTTAGAAAATGCTGAAACAAAAATTTAGGGAAAAGAAATCCTGTGATCAGTTCTGGCATTGATATTTGACTTTAATCATCTATTGCTGTGTAACAAATTATTTCAACACTTAGAGACTTAAAACAACATTTATCATCTCACAGTTCCTGTGTGGGTCAGAAATTCAGGAGTGGCTTAGTTGGAAGCTAAGGGTCTGGGTCAGGGTATCTCAGAAGGCTGCAAGTTGTTGGTCAGGATCTCAGTCATCTGAAGGTTCCACCAGGGGAGAATCTGCTTCCATGTTCACTCACAGTACCAGTGGCAGAATTCAGTTCTCTTCTGGTTGTCAGACTGAAGGCCTCAGTTTCTCACTGGCTATTGACCAAATGCTGTCCCCAGGGCTTCACCATGTGGGCCTCTGCAACTTGCTTCATTATAGCAAGTACATGAGAAGAGCCAAAGAGAGAGAACAAGGAAGAGGGAAGTCACAGTAGTTATAACCTAATCTCAGAAACAGCATCCTATTGCCTCTGGTGTATTCTATTTGCTAGAAGTGAGTCACTAGGTCCAGCTCACACACAGGGAAAGAGTTTATAGAAGAATGTAAATATCAGGAGGCCAGGATCATGGGAGACTGTTTAAGAAGCAGTTAATTACAGCTAATTACAGCTATTAAAATAGGTAATAAGATCTTCAACCAGAAGTATTCTAAGAGATTATTTGATTTCCATGTTAGAAGATAAGAGAACTAAGGTTCTGTAGGCTTAAATGTGTTTCCCTGGATCACATGTAACCAGGTGGTAAAAATCTTTTAATAGAGACTCAGCAGCCTGCGTCTACATCTGTAAAATGGAAGTAATGATTCCTGGGTTGCCTTTCTCCTCTGTTACCAAACTCAGGTCCAGCTGCTCACCACTTGAAAATCAATACCCAAGAGAGAGGCAAGTGTTGGTAGAAAGTTTCTTTTAATCAGAATGCCAGCAATCTGGAGAGATGGTGGACTTGGTGTCCCCAAAAATCAACTCCGAAGATTCTGCTCAACCATGAAAGTTTTTAAAGGGAAAAGGAAAGTAATCTCAGTTAATCATTGAGTTAGGGGATCAGACTCATACCTGTCTCCCACTGCATGCAGGCTTGTCATCTTCTTGTGACATTTCTTTAGATGCTATCTTTTTGTTTGTTTGTTTCCTTTTTAAACGTTTTATTTCTGATTGACCTCTCCACATTTCCTGTGGAACTCACGATGTGGCTGAGAACCAGAGCAAGGCCCCATTTCTGTTGGAGCTCCAATAGCCAGAACGTGCCCCTGCCTAACCGGGCATTTCCCCAAAAAATGTACGGTTTTAGGTTCACGGCCTCTTTCCTTCACCTCCCCTTCCCCCTGCTGTAATGGGAGAACCTGACAAAGGACACCTCCAGCTCCAGCCAGGGCAGTAGTGGGACTGCTGCTGCCCAAGATACCCAAACGTCCGAGTTTTCCTTACTAACTGATGGTGGAGGTGCCCGTCCAAGAAGGGCAAGGAAATGGCCCTCGCCCAGGCCCCTCGAGTTTGAATAAAATGATAAAGGCGGCCGGGCTGCTGGCAGCTCTTCACGTAATAATTATTCCCTCAGGAGAGGAAGGCCAGGCAGCGTGCACGGTGCGCGGCTTACTTCTGAGGTTAATTGTGGACCCAGAGAAACAACAGCCGGATGTGAAGGAAGAAATGTGTTGTAACAGACCCACCATACACAGCAATTCCCAACAGGAGGCGAGGGAGAAAATGGCTTCAGGCCAAACTACCTCCCCCGACCCCGCCAACGCAGGTCCCTCACGTGGGATGGAGGTGGGCCAAGTTCATCAGGTCCAGGCCCCGCCCAGCACAGAGGGGTCTTCACTGCTGTCCTGGGCTCGGGTCCCCCTGGGCTCAGAACCCAGCCAACAATGACGGGCGTGGACACGTGTTTTTGTTCCCGACAGAACCTCGCACTTAAACGGACTCGGAAGACGGCAGCAGGCAACTTCACACCAGGTCCTGAGACTCAGAAATACTCCAGCACCAGCTGTGGTCACCAGATCCCCTCACTCCCGGGAGGGCAAAGCACACTTTCCCCAGGCCCCCAAAAGTTCTGAAGTTATCACGACAAATGTTATAAAAGAGAACAGAGTGGGAAACACGCTGCGCATCTGCAGCGGGCACCACAGCACCCTCCTTGGCGGGTGTCCGCCAACGTCATTGGCAACCAGCACGCCTGTCGCCACCCTGCGCAGTCGGGGAGCTATTGGGAGCCCTGGCCACAACCGTCGGCCAGACAGGAGGTTTCCTTTGTCCCTGACCTCACTTTCCAGCAAAATTCAGACTCTGTTATAACTGTGCTCTGAACCTAAAAAAGGAGCAGGTTAGTCAGGAGTCACAGGAAATTTACTCTCTGGGAAACAATCTTGCCAACGCCATGAAGAAATCCTGATGAATTTCAAAGGGAAGTTCTGACTAGAGGGGCCTCGAGGGAATGAGGAAGAAGGGTCAGACTCATTTCTGATACAAAACCATCAAGAAAGCAAGTTTGGGGCTGCCGGCTTCAGCTTCCGTAGGTCCGCACGGCTGCATTTCCACCTGTTCCTGCCTATATCCTGCAGAGCTTCAGCGGGAAGTTCTCTGTGATGAGGTGCTCAGGGTGAAGCAGCACAACAATGTTAACCTCGAACTCCACTTTGAAGTTGGTGGTCTCCAGTGTCGGACAGGTGAAGAGCTGGGGGAAGACCATGTATATGGGGACAGAGAGGCCCCGACACACGTCCCCATTGGCTATCTGAATGTTCTGAATTTCTGTGGCATCGCGGGCGTACCCTTCTGCACAGCCACAGGTCTCCACGTGCACCAGCTGCAGCTCGATGCTTTTGATGGTGGCCTCCGAGCTCTCCACCACCAGCTCTCCCATTAGTGGGTGTGTGATAACACAGCTGGTCGAGTTGAGATGTCCTCTGATGAGAAATTTGGGGAGCAAGGCTCTCTCTTTGACATTCTGTAAGGTTTCAGGTGTGACAGTGAAGTCCACGGGACTCGGAGTCAGTTTCCCCTTCTAAGGAGCAGAGTGAATGATGAATTCACAGGTCTTAGTCAAGTCCTTGGCCAGCAGGGACCGCCTCATGTCACAGCGCAGGGTATACTTAGTGAGGACCCGACGAGGTAACGTGTGATAAGCCAAGGCCTGTCACACAGCAGCTCTGGGTAAAATGGCAGCTGTTTTGTAGTGAGGATGAGAAAACACAGGCAGCAGGACTGCAAACCCCTGGACGGTATCTAGACTTCACAGGCCAACCTGGGAGATGTGGGTCAGCCCCCAACTCGCTCTCACTCGCTGGGTTCTCTGCATGGGCAGCACTGCACTGGGTGCCAGGACAAGGGCAGAGCTGTGCCCCACATGGGGAAGAGAAGAGATGCTAGTGACAGTGCTCAGAGTCCTGGAGCTCAGGCCCCCAGGGCATCTCAAAATGAGCTCTTCATACCTTAACCTGAATGTTGACAAACACGCTGTGATAAGTCTCATACAGAACTCTTACCCTTCACGTGCAGAGGAAATTCAAAAGGAATTTCTGTTTTGCCACTGGGAAATTTTCCTGGTGTCTCCATTTCGATGGTACTGTTGATAATCTGGATGGGTTTAACAGAATTATAGAATGCTTCAAACACACCCACACTCTTGGCGCTGAGTTGGAGGTTCACGGCTCCTTCCACTGTCAAGTAGACTCCCTGGTGCTGGACCGAATCCTTCCCAGATACGACCACCACCCCAGAGAGCATTTCCCTGGTGTGATAAACCTTGTTCGCTCTTTTAACCTTAATGTCCAGGGCGGTCCCCATCTCGAATACTCCGTTTCGGGAAACACTTCCGGCCACACATGACCCAAGGGAAAGGAGGGCACCCCGTAGATGCTATCTTGTTCACCACTTTTATCACACAGTTTGTTTGCCAGATTACTGAAGGGGAAGCTAAGGAAGAGATCTGGTCATCTGTTGATTACTTACTCTTCATTTCTACTTCTTTAATCTATGGAAATAACCAACAGGTTAGGCAAGATATTGTTTGATCAAAAGATTTAAAAAGTATGCTAGGGCCAGAAATGAGTAGAGCATGCGGGCGTCTGATTTAAAAGTGAGTTAAAATGTAGCTTTGCTAAATTAACAAGAAACGAGATTTTCTGCTGAGGACGGCTTCCTGAAAAGAATTGCTTACAACTGCACCCCCCCCAGGCCCCTGTCAGACATCATTTCATTTCTATGGGATTAGGGACAAAGGTCCACCTTCTGTAACTTCATGCTGAGAAAGGGCATTGAGGTCTTATAGTGAACATTATCGACATGGGTTTGAAGCATCTCTCTGCTGAGAGCTTTAGTTGCTCATTTACGTATAAGGGCAGAACAAGCTACAATTATTTTGATGCCCACAAATATGTAGATTATTATGAGCAATAGTGTTAATCCCATTCTCTTAAGGCCAGTTCTTGGAATTGTGCTAGCCATATATTCAGTACTGCTCAAGATGGCACAGCTTATGTCATGGTTGCAGTCTGGTCATCATGAAGTTAGCTTTTCCCATCTGGTGCCCATTATAGTACCCATAAAATACTCAGAAATGTGCATCAGATACTGAATCTGTGACTTTATTGTCTTAATCATTAACTGCTTGAACCTGCTATTTTGGGACGCCTGGGAGACTTCAGCTTTTCTACAAACAAGAGGCAGAGGACCTGGAGGAACATTTGTATTTGGTGAGGGGTGGTGGGGGTGGCAGGGAGTTCTATTCAGTTCCACCTCAACAGAGATCTGTGAGAAACCAGAGCAATCCAGAGAGTGAAAATGCTTTAAAGGGATAAAATGATGGCTATTCAAAGTTATATTGTTATAATTATTATTTCTATTAATAATAATGATAGTAGGGCTTAGGACCAATAAATTTGTGAGATAAAATTTCTTTTTACTCCTCCTTTTCCTTTCTTTAATGATGCTCCTAGAAGCTTTGGGGAGATTAATGCATGTAATTCCTGTTGAGGAAGCCCAAAGGGCTAGACATCCTGTCCCTTCCCACTGGCATGTTTCCAGTGACACTTACTAGGCTTTTCTTTTCCCATTGCACTTCTTCATAGCCCACCAATCTTGAGTTCCATTCTGAGAAGTTCTTCTCTCTCATTATTGGCAAAGCCTATTCAACCTAAACGAAGTACGTTTCCTTCCTAAATAGCCCATGTGTGAAAAGAATGGGTCTGGAATACTGCAGAGAAACAAACATGCTGCCATCACACCTATCCATATTCTAACTGTCACACGAGATGAAGGAAGAGGTCCACCACCTCTGTGGAGTCCCCACCACTGGAGTGTTTTCATACATACCTGAAACCTTACCTTGCTTATCCTCTCTGAGGATCCACTTTGTGTTGGACACTTTTTTAAACACTTCATAGGATCATCTTTGATTTTCAAACACACACACTCAAGTGAAGAGATGAGATGAACGAGACTAGAGAAGGTTAAATCTCTTGGCCAGCTTCAAAACCATAGAGGAACAGGGAATCAGCCCCAGGTGAGCCTGATTCCAAAGCACAAACTTGTGTTTTTTTCCCACATTACCATGAATTTTCAGGTTCTTCATTGTACTCTCCAGTAGATTCTAGGCAGCAGGAAGAAATGAGTTTACCTGATTTGTAACTTCAGTGCCTGGCACAGTGCTGGAATTAGTATCGGTTAATAATTAACATGCATTGCCCATTTCAGATATATTTATCATTTTGTCATCCTTTCTAAGATCTTGAGGGCAATATCTTGCCTTATACTCCTCTCAGCAGCCAGACTGCTCCAATATATTACAGATATGTTATTTATTTCTCCTCACCTTGTCATCTGATGAGTGACAGGCAAAATCATGAGTTCAGTGACTGTATGTAGAAAAGATTATTTCGCCAGAGATTAAACACCTAACCCCAGTCAGCCAATGAATGTCTGACAATGGATGGCTCCATATCATACTATTCTGAAAAAAGAGTGAAGTGGGTGTCCCAATGAATGTTGTTCTTTGCATACAAAGGATGGTACCTCACACTGAGGGCTTCCCTTCAATTTGTTCTAAATAATTTCCTTCACACATCAAACAAGGCAACCTGTTCTTTTATGTTTCTTGTTGAAAGCCAGTTTATCCACACAGTGAGGAAAGAAGAGGAAGTCGGGAGTTTCTGGATGGTGTTTACATTTTCTCCTGACATATTTTGTTCCGAAATATTTGTTCTTCCAAGAATCTGACATAGTATCTTGTTAGTACCCTCAGGCTGTCCACATTTTAACCTTATCCCAGCCTTAAACGTTAGCTTCGCTCAATTATGTATGCAGTTAAAGTGTTTGTTTAGAGAGCTTTCCATCACAAGCACAAAATAATAATCAGGTATCATTTTGTCAGTCTATGTTGCCAGCAAAACTCTTCTTGATATTTTCCCAAATTTGCCTCACATTAACTCACCTTGTTTCTATTTCTTGACTCCTTGTCCCCTTCCTTCCTGAAGTATTGAGAACACGAATCTCCCTGTCAAGTTAATTCCTCACTCTTTTGCCAAACATTCTTTATTTCATTTATTTATTGGGCTCATTCATATCCCCAGAGTTTACAATAATCCAAGATTCACTGAATTCCAGTTTAGTATTTTCTTTGCCACTAAATTCATCTCTTTATTACTGTTCAAGCTTTAGCAGTATGTTTTAGTGCCAGAAAATACAACATTTATCTCACAGCTGAAGTGCAAATAGGATATTCCTCCAAATATCTTGCTCTTTATCCAGGAGCTATAAAAGACCAAAAAAAAAAATTCTTTGTAACTTAATGTCAGCATCCTAGCTCCAGCTGTGCTGTGTACAATTACAATAACAACCATCATATGTACAACTTAAGCTTGGTCAAATATTTACTAAATGCACACAATGTTGTAGTAATACCTCAATTCTCTTTGTGTTAATTTTCAAGAGTCTTAAATCATTTGAGTTAAAATATGAAAAGTCATTTTACATTTGTCGACACTAACATTAAGGAAACCTCACTCACCGGAAATTACTCAAATACATGGAAAATAGAAGTCAGATCACACAAACTCCAAGATGAGTCAGTCAAAAACCAAGATCAGAACCCAACACAACAGAGCTGGTAACCTCTGTGTCCCTCCTGGGTGCCTTGGACTCTTTGCTCTTAGGCAGTTCAGTCAGCCCAGTGTCCTATTCCACAAGAAAAGAGCATCCCTGCCCCCAATGCCCAGCAAGGCACCTTCATATCTGTGTCTGACAGCGACATACTCTGAGGTAAGTTTTGGTCAAGAGCTAGACCACTGCATCCTCATAACAGAAACATAATATTTCACCCCTGGGTCAGATTCTCCCAGCTGGGCTTTTGATCAAGAAGCATGTTCAAACAGTTGCTAAGCATCTTATATATAAAACATGCATAAAATTTTTTGAAAATTGTAAGGATGTAGGGTAAAACTTTAAAAAATTTGAAAGCTGTGAAGAAAATAAAAACAAGCAATTGTTTTTATTTTTATATGTCTTCTAGATATAAAGCCAGTTGATTAGTTTAGAAATTTAGGATTGATTTAAAATACTTATAAAATTCTCAATTTTGGTACAGTGAATTACACAAATGCTCCCCAGATAGCTATAGGAAACTGAAGTTATTTTTCAAAGGTAATAGAGAATATTGAGTCTTAGATATATATAATAAAAAAAGAAGACTAAATATTCTTTGGGTGACTTTTATAATTTTATATTTTATTTCTAAGCTTTTATGTCTCCACAAACAACATTCTGTTGGGTCCTACAAAAGGCAATTTAACTAGACATAAAACAATTTCAGCAAAAAATTCTTCCTTTGTACTCATTACCTAGTTAACTTTCATATTTCAGGAGGGGTTTGGGAAAACTGGTACTGATTCATACAGCAAATAAGTGAAGAATAGAGAAAAAATTCTTGACCCATAGTATTGGGTTCTGCTACCAATTGTACAACCTATTAACAGTGTGATGTAAGGAAAACACCTCAAGTTCTTTGAGTGGCAACTTTTTATCTGAAAAGGAGAATAGAGATAGTCATACAGAGTGCAGTAAGTCAAAAAGAGAAAAACAAATATCGTATATTAATGCATATATGTGGAATCTAGAAAAATGATACAGATGAACCAGTTTGCAAAGCAAAAACAGAGACACAGATGTAGAGAACAAATGTATGGACACTAAGGAGGGAAAGTGGAGGGGGTGGGGTGGTGGTGGTGGGATGAATTGGGAGATTAGGATTGACATATATACACTAATATGTTTAAAATAGATAACTAATAAGAACCTGCTGTATAAAAAACAAATGAATAAAATTCAAAAAAAGGAGAATAGCAGTATTTTTCTTATCCACCTTATAAGGTTTCTATGAGACTCAAGACAGCGATCCCCAGCCTTTTTGGGACCAGGGACCAGTTTAATGGAAGACAATTTTTCCATGGATGGGGGTGGGGGGAATGGTTCAGGCGGTAATGTGAGTGATGGGGATTGGCAGATGAAGCTTTGCTCACCTGCCCTCCACTCACCTCCTGATGTGCAGCCCGGTTCCTCACAGGCTACAGCCTGGGGTTTGGGGACCTCTGAAATAAGATGCCTTGGAAGAACTTCCTAGTAAATAATAGAACCTATTATTTAAATTATTCATATTCAGTACCTCCATTATAATGCTGCTTCTTTATTCATGCTCTCCATAGTAGTCAGTGAAGATAAATTCTGTTGAATGTAACAAGTTTTGAGCACCTTGGTCTGTCAATATTTGCTCACATGTTTTCATTCTAGGTCTAAGTTGTGGAGAGAGGTTTTTTTTTGTTTTTTTTTTTTTTTTGCGGT